TACGTCATAATAAGCATTACAAATTAGGTGCATATCTATGAGTACTCTCATGCACTGTAGCAGTAAAATTGAGGCAAAGTCTTGAAAATATTTTTTTCAAAGTAAATTTGATATACATATCAAAGGCACCTAGCGAGCATATGAAATTCATGTTAAAAATTAAAGTTATCTGTTTAATCACACACTTTCTATTTTGTTCTGGAAGCCTACATTGTGAAAAACTTGAAATTTCTGAGATTAGTGACTTGACAAACCCTAAAAATTTTAACCCGAGAACTCCTGAAGAGCATTTGAGTACTTGCTGTATTACCTGTCCCTCAACTTTAGACGTGATTTCCTTGATCTGTCGTTTGGCATCATGTGTACAGATTTCTAGCTGTTCCTTCACATATTCTAGTCTATTCTCTTGCTCCTTCTTGGCTTTCTCCAGTTTAGCTCTGAAAATAAACCCTATGAACTCATCAAACCGATAATTAACTAAAACGAATATTGGTAAGCAAAATGAAAAAGAAAATCTGTCTCTTTCTCACCTTTGCTGAAATGCAGAACCCACTATCTGTTCCATGACAACCTTTACCATGTTTGCAATTTTCAATCCACTAACTGCATGAGATTCAAACTTGGTTTGTATTGCTGACTTGGAAATACACTCCTTTAAAGTAAAACAAAATATTTATTTTGTGAAGTGAGAAAAATCAATCAGTACAAACTCAAGACAGGTAACTTTAAACTTTAAACTTTAAATGGAAAATGTACTTGTACATGTACATTGTAATGAATTCACAGTTGCCTAAAAGCCACCCTATGCCTTATGATGGATAAGTTATGGGCAAAGGAATTTTTGCATAAAGTATAGGGTGAGCTGAAAGCAGAACTGGCCAGCTCTACTGGAGGGAAGGAGGGTGGGAAATTTGCAGACACTGTGGCATCAGTAGACTTGAGAGAAGAGGAAGATTTTGCATGCATTGGCATATAAAAGGTCTTGAGAATTGCCCTGGGGACCTCTATGGCCAACAGAATTTCTGCCATGAAAGTACAGAGTTATCCGATTTACTCATTAGACATGTGGCTGCTTTTATGCAAATGAGAATAATGACTCTGTGGTCGCATTCTCTGATACACAACAGACCCAGGAGTTATAATAACTTTTTCCATGAGCAGTTGCACAAAAAAGGGTCCAGGGCTGGAAATTAACGGTAACCCGTTAACCAATGGTTAGTAATTTTCAACATTTGGTTACTAAAAATGTGTCCAACTAACCCGACATGGTTAGTAAAATTTTCTTACATATTTAAAATATGTCATGGAAACAACTTTTATACAAATAAATGTTTTAGGGACGGTTTATGTGTTATTTACTTACATTAGCTTGTTTTCTGTCTCAAACAATTTGTTGTTACCATCTTTGAGATTGATTCGAGCTTTACAACCATTTTGAGGGCTAAGGCCCTGGATGCAAATTTGTGTTGAATGTGGGGATCTGGACACAACTATGTTGGATCTGCCGTATTCGCTTTGAAAATTATTAGGGACCTTAAGCAGTCAGGATGGCAATGCGAAGAAAGACGTCGACTAAAAAATGAATTTCCACTTTAAATTAAATTTCGAAAATGGCTGCATGTGTTTACCATCTCATACAGTGCCCCAACTCAACCTCAACATAACGCATAAAAGTAGCATTGAGTTCCAAATGGGAATTTAAATAATTTGCCGTTGTAGTTTCAGTTCGCAGACGATGTAAATTTTGGTGATTTCACGTTGTTGTTTTGCAAAGGACGGCTAAGAAATGTACTAAGTTTTAAAATGCACGTGCTGAGCTATTGTTCTGCCGATTAGATCTTTTGTTTTTCCACAACTTTGTTGCCGTCGCCTTCGTGGTTTGCTTAASGTCCTTAGTCTGAGGTTCTAGCAGTTCGGCATTGAATTATGCAGAGTTCTTTAATCATGGCAAACGAGGAAATAAAATAGGTCCATAATTGTCAACGTTTTTAGGGTCAGCATGGAATTTCAGCTACTCTTTAATTGTCTTAGTCGTTATTAACAAAACGTTCAACATTTGAGATATTGTAACTTGTGAGCTTGGATACCAAACTTTATAATTTGGTTAGTAAAAACGATGTCTACTAACCCGAAGGGTAAGTGATCCAAAAATTAAATTGTAGCCCTGGGGTCCTTAGGCCCCTTTCCCATAGGGGGTCAAAAGCATGCTAAATGACAGCAGTAAAAGGTCTTATAGGCCTCCATAAACCACACAAGTCATTACTAGCTCTTATGGAAATCCCTGCTGACCTATGGGCAAAGTTAACTTTTAGCGATTATGTACAAAGTACAGTGTACTCCTTAAATAATAAAGCCATAAAAATTCCATGTTGCCTTCATCCAAATATTTTTGCCACCTTTTGATTCATATGTACAGGCAGACAAGTGGCTATCTGAGAACTATTTGCTGGCTTGTAAGTCTCAACAGCAGCTACAATACCTCAAATTTGCGTTCAAAGTTCTCAAACTCCAGCTGTCGGGCAGGAAATCCCTCAACATGAATGGCACCACCTGAAAAATGAACAGGGCAATGCTGGTTATGCCATCAATTCGGAGTTAAAATCTTACTTGTTAACAATACATTCATACTGTTTTAAGGAAACACACAATTTGACAGGCCACATACCTCCCTGAGGCATTCCCTGGTGCTTCTGCATTCGCGTCATTAAGGTCTGGATGAAAAAGAAATAGGAGAAGAAAGTAAGAAATACAGTAGAGCCACATTAACTCAAACCCCCTACTTACTGGAATCCCCCCCCCTAATTCCAAGCCCCCTGCTAACTCAAATTCCACACTAACTAGGGTCCCCAGCCAACTCAAAGCCCCTCACTAACTCAAAGCCCCCCATAAACTTGAAGTCCCCTGCTAACTCAAAGCCCTCCATAGACTCAAAGCCCCTTACTGACTCTAAGCGCCCCACAAACTTGAAGCCCCCTACAAACTCAAACGCCCCGGCTAACTTGCCCAAGATCTGATTACCCTTTGATTTTTCCAGTCATTTGACATCAGCTGACTGAACTTAGTTCATCCAAACCCTTCTTACTTCCCTCTTGGCTCCCTTACTCTGATAACAAACTTTAAGTAAGAACATTAGTCACCACACATCATAGTGTCAGAACAAAACTGATTGACACATTCCAATCTTTATTTGCATTTCGCTCCGACGAAGGGCTGACGCTCGAAACGTCAGCTTTTGTAATCGTTACGCTGGCCAATTTACCATTTCAGCTTTGTTGATATATCCAAATTATTTTGTTACTCCCACCGACACAGCCCCAAACAGTTTCTTTCGAAACTATCAGCCTTTATTTATTTGCAATTGATATGAAAGTAATAACATTTTGTTCATGTCATACAACTTTACAACCCAAACTTAACATTCTTAGAAAAAGGGGCTTTTATAAAACAGTACTTTAAAATAACGAACAAGTTTGGTAAAAACATGATTCCTTTTTTCTAAATTATTAACAGGATAATTGAAATTCAACACCAACCCAGATATATCAAACCCCCACCAACCCAAACTATATTTTGGTTCCCTTGGGAATTCGAGTTAGCGATGTTTTATTGAAATCAGAAGAAAATTAAAAATTATTCAGTGTGACTTGTATCAAATTTCTCTTCACACAACAGAGATTCAAACTTAATTTGTTAATAAGTTATTTTATGTAAAATGTGTTTCTGCAAAACATTACACCAAATATTAATAAAACTGCTTAGAACAAAGTACCTCTTTAGCTGAGACAAAAAACACTCTGTCTTCTGCTTGTCCTTTGTCTACGCATTTAAGCTCATCAACAAGGAAACTAATGTTCCTACTGAGATGTTGATTTTTCACCTAAAGGACACATGAATAAAGCAAATGGTTTGTACTCTCACTACTCATATCCCATGTTTCCATGTCATGTTTCATGTTAGCCCCCCCTTCTACGCATAAATAAAAAAGAGTAATACTTTTTTTTCTACCAGCAACATTTTCATACGTATGTTGTTATTTCAAACCACTAATTATAAAGAGAGCAATCTAACTTAAAAAGCAACTGCAACAGTATTATATCTTTTGTTTCATCATTGACATCTTTTGATTTATAATTATACTTGTAATGACCTACAAATCTGGATGGTTCTTGAGAAAAAATGAATGCTTTCTTACCAGTTCCATTGTATCAGGTTCTGATGCAGATGCATCCCATCTGTTATTTAGAATGAAGATGTTTGGTCTGGAAAGACGCTGACTCACTTTGTGAAAAAAGTTTTTCTCCTGCAAATGACAATGGTTCTAAATAAGAAACTACGCAAGCATGGGAAGGTTTAATCTACAAATGCTGCCAAATTACATAAAAAATGTCAGTCTAGAACAAGTCACATTTTAAAGAAACAGAAATTTCAAAAATCAATCAGATTTTAAGGGTATATATGTTGTATCTTAACTTTGACTCCCACAAGTGATTAACATGTTACTAAAGTAACTCCTTAGAAATATTCATATATTATGCAGTAAAAGGTAACGAAAATATTGAAATCTATCAGATAGTTGTTATCTTGATCTAACACCAAATTCTCCTAGCTACTGTACAAGGAAATGTGTGAAAGCTAATGGAGAGAATTAACAATCAGATCTTGGCTGTTGAAGGGTAAATTACACACAACACAGGAATGCTGATGAACATACTGTGACCATAAGCGTTGACTCAGCGTTAGCGACCAGAACAAACACATCAGCATCCAAGCAGTGCTTGTCAATCCAAAGATCAAGGTCAGGGCTCACATCTATACCAGGACTACAAAAAAATTTGCATGCATTAAATAAATCTAATAGACAGCATCTTTGGGACAAAGAAAAGACACAGTATATAACAACAAATGCACATCAAAGGTATAGGTATGTCAGGATATTATTGCAAAGGTAAAAATACCAGCACAATCAGAAAATTACTAATTAATAAAAACACTGCTGAATCACCAAGAATCAGAATAATTATATGAAAGATGACTGAAATTTGACAGCCATTACAGCAAAATTTAGGATTAACCTTTTACACTGCACACACTAACATAAGTATGTATATTCTTAGAACTATTCTCTATACATTTCCAAAGCTTCTAACAATGAAGGCAGTCACTGGCAGTCTGGAAAAGTCCCCAAACACAGTATTGTAAAGTGCATTTAATCATATCCACATGTTAATTTGCACTATATAAATGTTACTTCATTCAAAGGAGAATTAAACATTTCACCAATTCTTTTTTTCCTTACCTATCCACCAACACCACATCCTCTGACAACATTTTACATCTGAGATAAGAAAAATGAAACAGTCACAAGAGATATCAATTTATATGCCAAACCCTACATAATTTGAAATGCATTTATCTAGAACACGTGTACTGTGTTTGATAAGTTTTTACATCAAAAGACAGCCTATCTTTAAGTTAGAACTTTTTGACACTAGAAGTACATTAATTTTCCTTTGTTTATTATACACACATTATGAAACCAGACACAAATTTGCACTGAACTTATATTAAGCAATTATTAGATAATGTCATGCAAACCTGTTAGCTTGAATTATCAAAACCCAGGTTTGCGTTACCAGCTGAAACTTTAAGCTGAGGCAGATAACACAGACAAGGTTTGATAATTTATGATATCATGCAAAAAACCGAATTCAATAACTGTTTCATTGTACAATTTTAAAACAACCTGGAAAAGGATGCACTTCTCTCTGAGTTATCAAAAGTTTGAGAATACTACATGGAGGGGCACAGAAACTAAGCTGACTTTAACTCAAAATAATAAATGCAATATCTGCTGCAGATGTTGGGTTATCATGTCATCTTCTTACAATGCTGTAGAATGATTGAATGCTCTTGACCAATCAGATTTTTTAATAGTAAGTCTGTTGTGTCTGTACACAAAGAAATCACTCCTGGATTAAAACAGCCTATTGAAAAAACTATAATGTCACTTGAAATTAAAACTACAAAAAACATAATATTCAAAACAGGAATGCATGCTTCATATACCTCTTACATCCAGTCTGGGAATTATGTAACTTTGCTTATGTAACCTTGCTTCATTAACACCTAACAAAGTCTTCCGCATAATAGAAGCCTTTATCTGTGGCCAAAAAAATCTTGGCAAACTTAACCCCTTTGGAACAAACTTAGACAACACAAATTTGTGTACAACAAAAGATGCTTCTTTTACAACTAACAAATAAAGTTTGCAAGGTTGCACAATAAGTACAGTTGAATTGACAGAACAACAGTTACCCTGTGTGTAGATGTGAATGACGTAATAGTTACAAAACAAAATCAAACCTGGACTTTGGCCAGAAGACTTGAACAAGACTGCTAGCATCAAGCTTTTCTTCACACAAAGCATGGGCCAGCTGGCCTAATGACTGTTTTGATGACAAAAAGGAAAAGTATGGAACTATCCTTATTAACTATTTATTAATTCAGATAGCACAGATATCAACTGGTACATAATTCAACCTATTTCATAAGTATTTTTCTGCTTTATGATATGTAAATTTACTACGTACCATTGATATTTTCTAAATCAAATTCCAAACCTTTATCATTTGTTGAAACCAAATTAAACAACAGAGCAATACTGCAAGTTTAGAATTAAACAGAAGGGGTATCTGACTGAGGTTTAAGCCTTTATCTGCTGTCAGGCTAAAAAAAGTTGCATGCAATTTATTGACCAAAAGTCATATTTCATACATGAAATGTTGAAAAGAAAAATTTATCTCCTTGTTGGGATTAGGTGACAATTTGACCAGGAAAAATCGTGATTTCTTAACCAACTACCCCTTAGTCTTAAAGTTAATAAGCAATAGAAAAACCTGACACACCTATCGCAGATTAAACATCAGGCCCCTTTTTATACCATGCACAAAATAGGTTTGCCATTTCGCCTCTTTTTTTTTTATTACGCTTGAATAGCATAATCACTAAGGTCATGATCATTTGAGGGAAGTTGAGCAACGATATCAGCTGTAATAACTTAGTAAGATAATGGAGGAACCCTTTTTCGCAAGACAGCGAATATATCAGCTGTAATACCGTAATAACCAAACCTTTTTTTGCAAGAAAGTGAAGCTATTAGCCATAATAACGTAATACCGAACCCTTTTTTGTTAAGACAGCGAAAATATCAGCGGTAATAACTTAATAACGTAATGGATGAACCCTTTTTCGCAAGACAGCGAATATATCAGCCGTAATAACGTAATGGATGAACCCTTTTTCACAAGACAGCTAATATATCAGCCGTAATACCCTTATAGGGTAATGGTTGAACCTTTTTTGGCAAGAAAGCGAAGGTATCAGCCGTAATAATGTAATAATGTAATGGACGAACCCTTTTTCGCAAGACAGCGAATATATCAGCCATAATAATGGCCGATCCTTTATTTGGCAAGAAAGCGAAGGTATCAGCCGTAACAACGTAATAACATAATGGCCGAACCTTTTTTTGCAAGAAAGCGAAGCTATTAGCCGTAATAACTTAATAACATAATGGCCAAACCCTTTTCCTCAAGAAAGCCAAGATATCAGCCATAATAAAGTAATAACGTGAGGGCCAACGCTTTTTCGCAAAACAGCGAAGATGTAACGTGATTGGTGAACGATTTTTCTCAAGGCAGCCGCAGTGACGTAAGAAACCATGCCGTAAGAGTCACCCCCCTTACAGATGTAGTAGCAGTTATTAGAGGTTTCCTAAACTTGTTTGTAGTCCGCATTTCATTGCCGGTTCACATAAGCTAACAATTTTATGTACATAACTTGCATTTCACAAGATTTTGCCTCTATTTAATTAATTTTGGCCTGGGCAACAAGCGAGGGCAAATTTTGCAAGTCCTAGAAAATAAGACTTCTGTACTTCTTCAGTTAGAGCAGCAAATAATGAAAATGCTCCTAAGACTGCCAACACTAATAGTAACGTTTCAAGACATGGTATGTATCCTTCTTTGCTTCTATTGCCTGTTACCGGGTTTAATATGGAGAAGGGAATGGTGCCTCAACTTCAGTAGGCAACTCTGGGAAATTGAGACACCTGTCCCTGTTAGTTATTTGATCAAAACAGAGCCTTACACAAGACTTCAAGGGTAAACAAACTTACAGGCTTTACAGGTTTGAATAATCACCTTTCCAAATTTTATATGCATACCTACATACATTATTGATTTTTCCCAATGGGGCTTTTCACGTATGTTATTACTTAGGCGATGTATAAGAACGTGTGTGGATTCCAAATATCCACTGATCTAAAATAAAAATTCCTTTTACCACTACTACTTTTAAAAGGGGGAATATGCAACATTTGCCAGTGTCTGGTCTTACAAATGCTAACCTCCTCGCCCTTGATAAAGGGGGAGGAGAGCGGTTTCGGGGCTCGTCCTGTCAAACATCTACAATTCATTATGGCATCGCGAAGATATGATTCTATCTGCCACTGGGAGCCAGTTGAGGCTTAACGTGGTCATATTTACGCGCACCACATAAATGCGACAGGTGAAGTTCCATATGCTTTGTAATTTCGTTATGTTGCCCTTGGAGGTACTCTTACACTTCATCAATAAAACAATTTGCTAAAAACTTAAGAGTTAATAATGGTAAAAATATGTTTGGTATGATTAACCTGACTGAGTCTATGCCTACAGGAAGATACGGTTTTGGTTATGTGTTTGTCAAAGGTCAAATTAGAGTATAAAAATATGCCTAAGTCTTTAACACTGTTGACAGGGAAGAGTTTCTTTCCTATGAAGTTTAGTGAAAAATGGCCTAACTTTGAGCGCATTGTCTGGTCCCAAACACCAGCATTCTTGTTTTACTTGGATTCAATAAAAGATAATTATTAGAGCACCACTCGGCAATTTGAAGGTCATTGTTTACATTGGTTACAGCCTTGACACTTCAACAGAACCCGACATGCATTAATTTAGGCGTCTTTTTGGAAACATTGCTTCTTCATTTTGCTCCCAGTAAGTTCTTGCTTCCCGAGACACACACTTTGGACTATCCTGCTGTAGCAATTGCTGTAGATGACTCTGTTTATGTTGATGACTCACTCAAAACCTTGGAAGCAAACTTTCTTATTTATTTTCCATGGCTGATTCAATTTACAAAAATGTTCTTCATACGAAATAGTCATCAACATGTCTTTGCAGCCTGTATAACATTCCGCACTCATGCCCCTTTGCTTCTAAGGGCTGCGTTTCCCCACTGAGGCCGTGAAATTTCCTCATTTAGAGCATACGACTGCCGTCCTTTCCAGCCCTCTGTCTCCAGAAATCTTTTAAGTGATTACTGTGGGCAGAAAAGTTTTATATACGGACTCAGAAAACGTGTTGTATTGATCCACGTGCAAAGCGGAGAATTTCAACCATTTCTGTCCAACCGGATTGGTCAAATTTTATCTACCTTATTGCATGCTTTCGCCAACAGCATGTAATAAGGTAGATTGAATCTGGGTTCAACTTTCCTGGATTGCATTTTTACTCTCTGACACAATGATCATTTCTATATTCCCAGAAAAGGTTGACATTGCATTATACAGCTACTTTTAGGTCGGGGCTGGAAGCATTGTAGTTGATGGTTCATTGGCCTAAAATTGAAAAAAAATAGCGTGATGTTTCAATACAGAGGATACAAAAGTAGCAAAGCATTGAAGGATCGCTTGATTCTTCTCATTGCACATGTATGATCGTTTGGTTTACTCGGAATTATTCGATTAGTAACATTTATTGAAAATACCGGCATGCCNGGGGTACAGGTCTGACTTTTTCCAAGAGACAGGCCAGGCGTGTGTTCTAAGAGACAGATTCCAAATCCTGGTGATAACTGGAACGAATAGCTCGGCGTGGTCTTTCCATATAGTATACGGGATGCCATCTGGTCCGGTTGCTGTTTTCTTTATACGCATAAGAGAATTCAGGACTTGTCGCTCTGAGATTTCTGGGACTTCCTGATCTTCACTAATCTCCAGAGGTGTTGGCTTTTTGTAGGCGTGGTCAGTACATACGATATTATGAGCAAATTTTCCATCCCTCGCATAGATTTTTGGTTATTACATTATTACGGGTACTTTTATACTTGCCGAAAGTTTTAGTTATTCCATTATTACAGGCAACTTCTTTGGTCATGGAAATTTTTCGTTATTACGTTACGAGTACTTTTCTACTATCCGAAATTTTGCCGGTAAAAAACGAAGAAAGGATAAAACAAAGACGTTGAGGGAAAGGAGAAAAAAAGGAAGTCATGAAACAAAAGAAGAAAGTAAAAAACTATTACCCTGTTACGAAGTAATAAGGAAAAAAGGAGGAAAAACAAAACCTATAATGCACACCATATGCCCCTTTTGTTTAAAGGGTGAATAACGTTATCCACTAGATAAATCTGTAAGCAGTGGATAGCACAGTAGATCTTGTTGACACTTATCTCCTGGATAGGGGTTAATCCATTGGATAGCATTATCCCTTCTTTGATCAGCTGACCAGCATGATGCTTATAAGCACTGGCTTGACCCGGCCAAGTTTGAAATGCATTGATTGCTCAATCAAGAAAATGTAGTACAATCATATCATCATTACAAAGCAGAAACAATTTTCAAGAAGACATACTTTAACATTCTTTTTGTCATCACTCTCTGGAACCAAGATATATGGATCTGGTAAATCTGAGCCATGTACACTGAGGAAACAGTTTGTAGTATGGCCAATTCCCATTGGTAAGATCTTATCTTGTAGCATGGCGTTTACTGTAGTGCTCTTTCCATTGCTGGTGCGTCCAAAAAATGCCACCTTCATCTGATCCCTCAACAATACTTCTGAGATGCTTGAAACCTGAGCCAGATAGCCTGACACCTGTGTAAGAGAATGGTCTATTTTACAGTTGCTTCCTTGGTTGCCAAGCCTTTGAACAGGAGTGAGACCAAGGGTGACCTTGTTATGATACAGATATTGCTGCTTTTCAAATGTAAATTACCTTGTTATAATGTTAACTAGAAACTGGTCTCTTTCATGACAAGGACATCCTTGGCCTCATTCCAAATCAAAGGCTTGGCAACTAAGTATACAACTGTAAAATGGCCTATTGTAATAATCATTACTGACTTAATTAGAATTAATTACATTGAATAATTGACAGTGAAAGTGAAGGTACCTAGAGTTTGCACAGAGTAAGAGGAGCACCATGTTTCATGACTGCATGAGCTCTACATAGAACTTGAGTCAAAGTGCCATTACCAAGATGCATTCCCTGATATACAAACTAATGAGATTGTAAAATTGGTGTCTTCTTTCAGAATGTGTCTTGTATAAATTGGCTATTACAGGGGCAAATGATAGGGGAGAACAAAAAATCTGGCATGAATCTGCAGAAAGCACCTGTAACATACCGAATTATTAATAAACACTTAAAGAACACAACTACATTATGTAATATTTTACAATATAACTTAATATACAATCCATGAAAGTCTACAAATTGAATATAACATTGCAAAGTTAATTAGAGAAAATATTTGATCGATGTATCAATCAAGGAAGCTGTTAAGTGGTAGCATAAATAAATCGAAAAATAACCGCAAGCTTCAGTCTGATCTACACCGGTTTAATTTAATAATATTTAATTTATCAATTCTCAATATCATGGAGCTTGGACGCGATTTTTGACGATCTTACCTCGCTTGAGAATTTCTTGATGTCTTGTTCATTTTCATCAGCTGTTCTGAAATCAGCTAAAAATATATTACAGTCTTCAAGATACTTTCTGATGTCTCCAAATATAGCATTTATCTTCTGTTTGGCTTTTACGAAATTGTGCAGAGGGGACTCTCCGTTCACTCCGTTTATCTCGCCATCTTTGAAAGATTTAGCTCGCTTAAACTGAGACGACGAATTCCTCATGTTCACCAGGGGATGGCTGGATAGCCAGCTTTTTCGATCGATCGATTTTCAATGGTGGAATTTGGGGGACAGTGTCACTACGCAAATGGAAACTAACACAGCGAGATTCAACATACGCACGTGGATTTCGTAGCCAAGGCATATTTTTCTAGATAAATCCGCTGAAAGTTGTCAGCCTTTTTTCGTGTTCTCGGCTCGTGAGGGTCTCCTCTACGTGACAACTCGCGTGGTAGGTGTATGTTACCGGCAGCCTTGAGAGTTTTGAATACAGTACAGAATAGGTCTGTAGGGTTTGATGGGTGTCTAAGCAGTCCTGTTTTTCACAGAACAAAGAGCATAACATCGTTGTGAAGTAATTGTGCTGTGTTATACTTATCGAAGCAAAGAAAGTATTACTTAACGCCATATAAACCATGTAAGTGAACAAACTCCAACTAACTTCTACTTTCAACACACTACTGCGAAAACTAATTTTGTTTTTGTTTGTCATCAACTGACGAGGTCGTAGACGAAACTAGTTTTGAAGTTTTCGCAGTAATGTTTTGAAAGTAGAAGTTAGTTGGAGTTTGTTCACTTACATGGTTTATATGGCGTAAAGAGCATAACAGTATCTCGAATTAAGGTCTTGTGATCGCGAGCGCACCTGGTTCGAATCTTCATTACTCGCGTTTGTTACTATACTATATTTATATCTTAGATTTCTATAATTACACGTATACTTATATAAATACACGTATATTTGTATGTTTGTGAGTGTAGTGTCTGACCCTACCAGTAATTCAGAGAGATCTGCAAATGGTGGAAATAAACAAATATTTCGCTTTAAAGGAAGAGCGTGACAGAATCTTATTTGCGAGAAGTCTACACTATTTATATATAAGCGTCTACTTGCTTACTGAGATCGTCTGCTATTTGTATCGATCTTCCCGATCAAGCAAAAATAAGCAACCTCGCGGAATGAATTCGATCTATGTGGGCTCAGTCCACGCGAGAAAAACCGCTAAACAGGTACTAACATGACTTATATTTGATTCTGCATGAGTAAAATCTTTGAAACGTTTTATTATTTGTAAATAACAGAGCTATTGTTATCAGTATAAACTTTGACTCTCTTGTTTATTTTATTTCCGAGACCGCAGGAGAATTCACCGCGGTTTTGAAATATTATCACGACTAGATAGAAAATATCATTAAAACTCGCTATAAACTTAGCTAGAAAATTATAGCACTAATATATTCTCGAAGAGCGAATTTAATTTTAAAGTAGCACATATAAATTATTTTTTTTCCAAGTTATTACTCATAATGAAAATCTGCGAGAATGCAGCTGGTACTTAAAAGAGCTTTGTTCATTTTCGTTCTGATGTTTTGTCATTTCACCTGTCTCAACATGTAAAGTCTCAGTGCTTCTGGTAAAATGTTCAGCTCTTTGATGTGATGGGAAATCGTATTCCGTGATAAAATGCCCCCGCAATGAAGATGAACTGCTATCATTGCTCGCCATTTCCACATCTAAAGGCAAAGCCGCGTTACTCTCTATGACAATCTCAGGTTTCTCCATAGTAAGGGATTCTTTTCCTTTTGTTTTTCCCATACCATTGGAAATTTTATTGAAATTTTCTGTTCCATGTGGAGCTGATTTACTATCACTTTGTTTGACTTCAGAAATCTCTGCCTCGACTTCCTTTTCAAGGATGGGAGAAAGCTGTGAATTCGCGTCTTGATTTTCGAGCAAAGCAACGTCCTCAGCTTTTTCCTGTAACACGTACTCCTGCGGTTTTCTGCGATGTTGCGCTGACTGTTGTTTCATAGCCTCTTTACCACTGAGTTTCAATGGAATGGGAGGCAGAATCAAAGCAGATGGAGCAGACTTCTGTTTTTTCATGTAAACGGCTTCCCTCGGTCGAAGATAAATAGGATGACCTTTAATCTCCGTCACAAATGCTTTCGCTAAGGCAGCATCTGACTCGACACTAATCGGTTTAGCAGTTTGTTGTTGAAGACTTGGTAAAGATGGGTTTATTCCCCATCTTATTGGTCTATTGACGAGCGGTTTTGACGCTCCTAACAGTTGATCAATGTACGAATAACCTACACCGGTGGAGAAATGCCTTTGCCTTATAGCATCGTTGCTCAGCTTGTTGAAGTGATCAGTCGTTGGAAGACGCTGAGATGGGTCTAAGTTCTGCGAAAGTTTTTCCACTTCAATAACTCTGTCGTTTATTTTCTGAAGCTTTCTCTCGTATGTCCTCATTTGAGCGTTTAAACTCTTCACTTGCAGTAATTTTTCTCTGTTCAAGCGCTCAATTTGACTTTGTAAGATCTTCTCGCTTCGGAAGTTCATCTTGGCAACGTAACGTTCCTCATTTTGACGCATTTGTCGCGTCGCTTTGGCCATATTTAACTGAAGGCTTCACAAAACACTCCAAGGTGCTTAAAACTTGCGCAAACATTGAGTGTTCAAACTACCTAGGTATAACCCAACAAACGCCTTTAAGCGCTTCGATAAAACGATGTACTGAGAAGAGCATAGTTGGAAACTTGAGACAACAAAATACTCAGGATTCCGATTTAAATGACCTTCATTACACTTCAGTTATTTTGATCACAGGTTATGACAATCAGCTAAACTCTGTCAACAAGAAAGTCTTTGTTTGTCGGAAGTGAGGTATATCGGCTTCTAAATAGCTTTATCCAGTATTATTGTTCAAAACTAACACTTTCTTATTTGAGACTCTATTTACGTAAAGGCAATAAAACAAAGTTATGGTATGGTGCAAACTAATGTGTGAAAAGCAGCTACAACGAGAAGAAAAATTAAAGATCTGTGAACTGTAGTGGCAACTATGTATCTGTATGATGGCCGGAATTGAAACCAATCTCTGGACCACCAGAAACTTAGCACATGAAACATTACGATCATGCAAGCGAATATTCTCTTGGATCATGAGAATAAAGGAAATGATCATCAACTAAATAAACTTTTGATTGTTAAACAAATTCTCCTTGTCAGCACCTTAGGAAATGTATAGAGAACAGCTAGTATGGAGAATATACATTCTGATGTTAGGGTGTAAAGGGTTAAATTGTCATGGATGATGCAACTTGCTCCTAAACTCTTTGCCAGATCGTGGATTTTCAATGTGGGCATCAATTACGCTTCTCCCCCACCCCCCTTAGAGTATCCCTTTAAAAAACACTTCTCAGGGATAAACAGTTGACTAGGTTAAGTTTTATCAAATTTCTGTCCTTTAAATCTCTCCTATACAGCCTAGATGTTTGGGAATGAAAAAATAAGTGTAATAGAATCTTCAGCCAGCTAGCGCGATCGCGCGAGAGGTTCAGGCTGACACGCGCGACGGAGGCCTCACGCGCGCAAGAGGAGTTGGTACTAGCTCTCTCGTCGAGATCTGAGACACGAAATCGTCTTTTTCCTATTGTTTCCGCGTCAGATCGTGAAAAATTTAACGCCATCTAAACTGGAAGGTGTTGTTCTTCGTTATTGTTCCTCAAGAGGCAAACATCAAGGCAAGATACAAAATACTTTTTTTCCAAAACCGCAAGGTCCTGGGTACGAACACAGCCTCACTCTCTTGCTCGACGTGTTTCTCTTTCTGGTGAAAAAAATTAACGTTACTTGTCAGTAAATTTCATAGATTTTCTCGGATTTCAATATCGTAAGCTACTCATGGCGGTATTTGAGATTGCTTATTGTTCTGGGTGATGCGTAGTCGTTGTTAAGGTCCAATTATGAAGATAACTAACGTTCGTTACGGCCGCCTCGTGTTCATGGTGTCTGCCACCATTTTGGTCCTCTTCATGTTCCTCTTGGCACAATTCAGCCTTCGAGCTTCAGGTGGGAGAGGGATCTTGGATAGAGCTAAACAACATTTTCACCACTGGTTTCAGAAAACTGTTTTCAAGCACAATTGGGAAGATATCCACTGTCACAGAAAACACGCTAATGAAACGACCGTCGAGAAGAGTTGGATTCCTGAATTGGCCAAACAACTAAATCTAAAGGATGATACCTCTGTGTTTGATAGCAATACTGGTTGTAATGAATGGCTGACTCTTTTAAGAAAGGAATACCCGAAAGTTGTAATCGGCGGCGCACACACTGATCAGTACGCCGTGGATTATGCGAAAAGGTTGTTTAACGACACTCCGAGCACTTTTGGAACCATTAGCTCAGATGGAAAACTAAGCTTTCTCGGCGATAAACCAAAATTTTCGCATGTTATTAACTATGGAGGACTGCGGCAACTGGGTAATAAGGAGATACAGTGTAATCTAGTCAGAGAATTACTACGCATACTACATCCAGGAGGTTCAATTTACCTTGGTCACAATGTGGAAGAAACAGAATGTAAGTTGATAGATAAATTCTCCAAAATTTCTCTACCTGGATGCTACTGGTCAGAAACTTGTCTGAAAAATAGAACTGATGTTGCTCTAATTTATTACATCAAGGAAAAAGATCTCTTTGGTGCCCACGCACAGATTGATGATTGTTACACAGCAGTATTTATTCACAAGAAAGTTATTATTTCTCGAGGGAACGATGGACAAGAAGAGCCAGACCCGCGTCACGAGAAACACAAGAATATGTATTTTTGTAAGACAGAGCAGTCTGGTAGCATTGTCAACAAATTGAAGGAACTGGCAATGCGTACAGACCTTGTCTTCCCTGGTAGTCTCAGCAAGGGGATTGAACTTGCCAAAAGAATGCATGAAAAAATTAAAGGGAATATTTCAAACATTGCACCGTCATGAATTACTTAAACAGAGTGTGTCTCAGTATCAGATCACCGAGAAATCAGTTTTTTCTTTTTACACACAACTTGCCTAACTATTTTTTCCTCTTTTAATATATTTACTTGTTTATTTCTGCTGGTGTATTTCTAGGCTGAGCCATGATTTGTAGATGGGTCGTTCAAATTCTGCCATAGTGAGTGCACATGTTAATAGGCACAATCTTTCCCAGGACATGTCCCTTAGATTCTTGAGTCTTGTATATTTATACACAAGCATTGCTTTGCAGATTAAAAATAATTATCTAAACTGCTTAGTCTCTTTGCTTTTTATTGGTCGAAAATCACATTTTATCTACATGTTGTAGATATTGAGGAGACAGCTGATAATAATGCTAAAAGATGTTTTGTGTCCTTAATAAAGATGATTAGGAACCAATGGTCCATCATATATATCACTGAAAGGCTCAATCACACTATTAACCCTTTCACTTCCTAGATTTTAATAATAATTCTCTTTACTGTTTGCTACACAATTCTTATGATGTAATTTGGTTTCATCTACTGAGTTGATAATGTTAATTGGCCACTGTAAAGAGTTTCACAGCTGATGTTTCGAGTGTTAGCCCTTCATTATTTGCTCTTGTTATGCCCACTGATGCTGCAGCACAGTTTCTTTAGAAACTTAGCCTCTCTACTCTTTTTTAGTTTTAGTTTGAAGAATTTGGTATTGGATTAACCAATAATACCCTCATGGCTATTTTTCTTTATTATCATCTATTGTTTGTTTGATATTGCATTGATACGTTTGGGAGAAATTCAGCCCTGATCACTTATGGCAGTTGAAGGGTTAAGGAGAGTCCAAGTGCTTAATGTGAATGACGAACTCTAACATAAATAAATTAGTATTTCCCGAAGAACATTTTAAAACTGGGCTTGTGTCTCTCTCGAAGAGGAGAAAGAAGCCACTCTAGTGCCACTCTTGTCTAGTTTGTAATGATTGATAGATTCGAGGCTAACACTAATGAGGAAGAAGTCTCACTTTCTGGGAAAACTTTCTGCAAAGTTTCTAAACAGCTTAGTGAGATGACCCTGATGTCAGTATCAGAGAGTTGTAGTATTATACTCCTTCCCACAAAAGTCACCTGACCATAATGAAGAGTTACCTTTAAGGCTTAGATCATAGAAAAGGAGTGTAAATCTTGGGTTTTTGTGACATTTAACTCTTTAACCCTAACATCAGTATGCATATTCTCCATACTGTTCTCTGTACATTTCCTGAGGTGCTGACAAGAATTTGTTTAATAATCAAGAGCTTCTTTGATTGTGGATCATTTCCTTTATTCTTGTGTGATTAATGGGTGATTCATGGGGTGACAATGTAAGGAGAAATTAGATGCCAGTCACTCTAAAGGGCCAAAGGATCAAAACCAATTGACACAGAAAGCCGGTATAGTTGCATTTTGCAAGGCTTTCGAGGTTAGTTGTTTCTCATGGAAGAATTATGCCATCGGAATCGTATAATATTCATTTCTGTTATGTTAAAATATGAGAGGGTAACCAATCCTTTAAAAAACTCCTTCAAATGTACTAAACATTTAACTAGACACTGCCATTTTGAATATTGCTTAGCAACATGGCTGCTTACTATCTCAAACAATCTTTATCAGCAAGGAGCAGCTGAATAAAGGCCATTTCTGACAATGATTTCCTTGCATAGCCAGAGTAGCAGCTGTAAATGAAGTGCATGTTGTGTTTTTAAATGTGAGGCATGGTTAATGAGTTAAACTTAACAATTCTCACAGATGCTATGAAAGGATACACTGATCTCAGATCCAGGTCCTACAGCGTTACTGAAATGTAGCTCTTGGCTGTGGAAAGTCTGGGTACAAGACACTACATCTCCTCCACATCATCTCTTAATTCAACACCTTTTTCTTAATTAACATGGAATAGGTAAGTTGCAATTGTTTGGGTGTCTAAAAGTTTTTTTTTTTCATCAGTTTTGGCCTGCATTGTTTTATTTTGTTATCCTAAACTAGTCTAACCACCCTCCATGCCCCCTCCCACCTTTCCACCATCAGTATTCTAATGGTCCATCTCTAATGGTCCATCTCTAATGGTCCATCTCTAATGGTCCATCCCTAATGGTCCATCTCTAATGGTCCATCCCTAATGGTCCATCTCTAATGGTCCATCCCTAATGGTCCATCTCTAATGGTCCATCTCTAATGGTCTATCTCTAATGGTCCATCTCTAATGGTCCATCTCTATTGGTCCATCTCTAATGATCCATCTCTAATGGTCCATCTCTAATGGTCCATCTCTAATGGTCCATCCCCAAAAGGAAAATGTGCTCTAGAAACTATACAGTATTAATTGTTCCCATTGAAAAATAGAGATAGATATTTTGAGATTACAAAGAGTAACCTGACCAATTTAAAATTACCTGCAAAAGTGCTAAATGATGGTATATGATGAAAAGCTGTGAATAGAATGTTTGTCACTCTCCCTGAGCCAAAAAAAAAAAGGAAAAAAAAAGTAGTGTTTCACTCCAATAAGAAAATCCTGCATTCCAATGAGGAAAAAGGAAAAAAAGTAATTGCAAACTGACAACCCCATCTCCCCTCCCTTTCCCCTCCACCATCACTTTACTAGATATGATGGTCCGTCCGTTACCAGGCCTGCTGGTCCGAATCAAAGCGAATACCCCTGGGGATGAGATGGCCAAACTCTGTCCCTTTTCCATCGGCTGCTTTCGGATATTTTCGAAGAATTTTCCACGATCGTGTGTTGTCGATATCACTTCGAGTACGTCATACCCACAAAATACCCACTGCCATGACATGAAGGGCGCTTGGTGATCTTTGGGTTTAAGTCAGAGTGTTCACTCGGAAATCATGTCGTTGTTTGTTTCCGTTCTTTCTTGATCACCGCCAGGAAGATCACTTGAGTTTTGATCAAGGTAAAGTTCCTTTGTGAGTGCATTCGAGTTGGCTAGAGTAATTATTAATATGTTCATTTCGAGATACGCGATCCCTTTATACAAGGCTTCGGAAGGGCTTCGGAATGCTTACTTTGATCAAATTAGGTGATTGTCTTAATTTTACGAGCATTTTACCCCTTAAAGATATATTAGTCTTGAAGTCATGCTTATTTGGAAAGCGTTCGTAATGATATTTCATAACAGTATTAGTTTAGTTTGGTTTGTTGGTTATTTCCAGTATTAGCTTGGTGCTCAATTATTTCATCAATTTGCGGCTTCTAGAGTTTGGTTTCTTCATTCGAATTTTACAGTTGCCTTCTAACAGTGTATCGGCTTCAATTCGGAAGCAAAAGCACGTATTAACTCTGTGTGATAATGGGAAGCTGTTTAACGAGGATAACTGGGTTAATTGAAAAGCGCGTAAACTTAGTTGGACCTGTACAAGCCACCTCATCCATCGATCTCAACCCTAATCGTGTTCAATAAACCTCATCGCCGTAAATCTTAAGGCGTTGTGCAGAACCACTGCTTGGAATTGATTGGGAAATCGTTATGGCGTTAAAACTCAAAAATAGTTGAAAATATTGTGTACAATTGTCGCTGTTTGTGAACTTCTGAATGGAGTACGTGAGAGCTAATTGTTAAGCGTACATGTTTTCAGAGTTTCTTTGGTTTGATCAGTTGTATTGATTCTCACGTCTGTGTTAAGTTCATTACCTTACCTAAGTGATAGGACTGATAAGATTTTATGGACCTATTTTTCAGAGAATTGTGGAAGACAATTTTATCTGAAGGACCATGTCTTTTGGTGAGTGTGAAATTGATTACGATTAGTTCATAATCTCAACATTTTGTTTTGTTCAGCACAACTTTTCCCAGTTTGATTGTTTATCTCTGTCTTCCCAAATTTATTTTCGCCATTTTAGATGCAATTTACAGTAGAGAGTTGTTAAAATGTTTTGGGAAATATTTTGCGAGGTAAATGTGCTTTGAACTTCTTTTCTGTTTTAGAACTTACATCAAGTGGCACAAGCCCTCCTTCTTGTATCAGGAGAGAAAGCTTAGTGCATTTGTTAGAGAGTTGCAAAGATTCTTTGGAAGTTCTAGGTAAAGAACTGGGAATTGATACAACTCAATGCAAGGAAGTCTGTGAGGTCCTTGATATTTATGAAGAAAATGTTGGTCAAGAACTGTCACTGGATAAGTGGATGGTCATATTTGAAAGGCTTGGTTGTTTGGTAGAATTTAAGATGCTTCTTGTTGAAGATCAACTGCTTGATGATGTCAACACTTTAGATGATTGTCCTCCAAACGACTGTGATGATCTGGGTCAGGGAACCCTTTTCAAGGAATCAAAGGAGTTGAGGCACCAGAAAATTAAGGCTAATAATCAATGTTCATCCTTAACGCTTCCTGGAAGTGGTGAGTTGTCATAGATTTTGTCTTGAAGTTGTTCAGTGACTAGTAATGGTATATGTACATGAGCCTATTTGATAAACAGCAGTTTGAGTAAAGCAATTTTCAATTTTCATTTGCCTTACTTAAATGAAAAATGTTTATTTAAAGCTTGTGAAAGCTGGGCTCACACTTTTAGATGCTAGCCATATAATGATAATTATTGCAGAACCCCTGATTTTCAAAGTGAGGAAGGAGGCACATTGTTGGAAAGTGATTGTTCTCGAAATCATGCCTCACCCTGCCTATCTTCTACATGCACATTTTGATAGTGGGTAAGCCTTGAAACATTATCACTGCATGGTGGCAAGATATCTTGATTTTTAATCAGAAAATTATGAAGATTTGCACTTGACGTTGGTTTTTAAGCAACAACTTTTTCTTCTTGTGAATGATTCATCTCAAGCTTCCTGGAATAAATAGGCAATTTTTCACAGGAGATCATAATTACTACTCTGTATAGCTGGCAGTTTTGTTGAGGAGTGCTTGAGCAAGTAGGGAAGCTATGAGGAAAATGGTAAAAAAAAAAAACAATTAACAGCAAAAAAGGTCTGCCATGCAATCTCTGCCAATGTAACACCAGGTGCAGTTCAAACCTGATTATGTAAGCAATATCAAAACTGTTGCTACAGGTAAAAGGGAGGTGCACTGCTTATGAAAGAATTTGAATCTACCAATACAATTACAACTCTTTTACGGTAGTTAGTGACTTGAAAGACACATGTTGAATTGTCTAAAATTTCTCACCCTAATGCCTTTCAACTTTTCATGTGAGTTTTATAGCAAAATTATATGAAATTTAAAGCATAATTAGTTCTCTAAAACAGAAAAAGAAACTTAATTTGTTGGTTTGAGTGTGTTAGGGACAGTTTCACCCCCTCCAATCCCCCCTTGTGTGGATCACGTGATTTTGCTACCAATTCTGCTCGAAAAATTGTGTTGTGCACTGTTTTATGTGTAGGCGAAAGTTTGTTTCTTTGGTCATCTTTTACCCTTTGATGTTGACGTTTTATTTGAGCCTGGAGATGCCCAAAAATATCTGTATCGACTAACAGAAGATCGTGTACCAGATTAAAACATCTTTAGTGCACAATTCAGTCCGTGATTGTCTTCAATAGTCTCCCTCGCAGCCGTTTTTTGTCTCGTCACGCAACGCTCCTCCCCACAAACAGCTTCTCACATTCGAACAACATTCCTTTCCACTACTTCAGCCAATCACCATTTGGGTTACATATGTCGAGAACTGTGCGCGCCAAAGTAATCTAACCAATCATATTGTTTGTTTCATCGTGGAGTCCAAAGCTTTCGAAATGACGTCCTTCGAAGAAGCGTTTGATGTTGTTAGTAATACATTTTGAATTCCTAGCTTAATTAAATGCGTAGCAAAAAACTGGAATTAGGAAAATAGTTGAGGAAAGAAAGGATGTATTTGTCAATCTTCCTACTGGTTTTGGGAAATCTCTCCTGTATCAAGCACTACCACTACCCTCCTACTACATCGTGGTAAGAAAATAAGTGATCTTAAAAAAATGCATCATATTTTTAAATCAAACTACTGGTAAATTTCATTGTCTGATTAGTGACATAAATTGTGTGCTATTCATACTCTATCACAGCAATTGAAAGTTTTGTCATGTGAAGTCACAAAAGATGGAACATCTGTTTGAGATTAGTTATATTTCACTTGTGAAGGAATTACTGTATACATGTACATGTATAATAGAGAAAAATAATTTATGATAATGGTCTGAAGTTTGATTAAGAATGCTACGAAAGATTCCGTAGGTTGTATTGATCAATTGATTCTTTGAAAATTGAATCTCTTCATTGGTGCTGCTGCCAGTATCAAGTTGTATTCTGCTTGCATAATGAGCAAAAATTTTAGACTGCTATTAGTCACTATTCAGTGAGAATGCAAATCTTTCAGACTTTTGAACAGCATGATCAGATTAGTATGAAGATTTTATATGATCAACTTCATTTATATCAGTAGTTGCAGCACCTAGGTACTTCTTGGGTTAAAATCTGGGCTTGGCTGTAACAGTTTGTCATCATTGGCACATACTTGTCACTAGGCTCTCATATATGGTACATTTGTGTTGTTCCAGACTATTCATAGACTACTCAACACTGCAATGGCATACTAAATAGACAGTGTGAATTCTCAAAAGCTATGGACTACAGAATTCAATTTCCCATGAGGCAACCAAAAAAAAAATGTTTTGTTTACTAGCCCTTTTTATCTAGCTCTGATACCCCTGAGCATGTTTTTCTTGAATGTGTTTGTTTATCCAGTGAGGATAAATTTTGAGGCATCCAAATCTTCCAACCTGTCTCGCTTGAAGTCACAGAAATGATTATAAGAACGTCTCACTGTTTCTTCAAAGACATTCATTTCCTCAGCTCTTTTGATAAGCTCATGTAGATCCCTCTCTTTAGATGGATCAGAATGTTTGCCAGATTTTGCATATCATTTCAAAGATTCATCAAGATTTTCAAGGATTGATGATGTTGAACTTTCAGCTTTACATATTCTTGATATGGCTGCCTTTGTTAGGTTTGGTCCTAGGTTTTTGATAGCTTGCTTCACATAATTGTTGCTGTGCTCTGTTCCTTCATCCAGAGGAATGTTGGTGCCTTTCTTACCATGATTATTCGTGAACTGGTTCCACAGAGGGTTTTGTTCATAGTTTTACTAGGATACTGGACGCTCAAAACAGTCTTTGATTTTTCACTAGTGTTAGTAAGGTCAGATTGGAAGCAGCTTTTCAGGCGATTGGAGTAGAGGTAAGTATTGGTTGAGGAATTTTGCACGGGGGGTCTTACTGTCAGTTGACTAGGGAAAGCTTCTAGCACAAGTCCGGATGGATGACTTCAAATAGGATACACACCAATAGAACCAATAGGAAATCTTGCCGGAGTTTAACGTACCTGTTGGCTGATCGTGGTAGAAATACCAGAATTATTGGCTGTAGCATTAGAGGTCCAAGTGGTATTGATTGGATCGAATTGTAAACATTTTGAGGATTTCCCACAGCACAAAGCTTGGATTTCTCCACTGTCATTCTCAACGTTCAATAAGCGCTTCGTTCAGGGAACTTCGCGATCCTTGACGATTCCCTTCAATTCATCTTTGAGCTCTTCAAGATGATCAGAGGCCTTTTTGAACTTGATCAATTGTCGGTAGCAAGCTTTACAAACTGACAACTCGCTGGTCGCTGAATAGCAGCTCACATTCACATCCAGAAAGGAACTAATAATCGCCGGAAAATCAAAAGAACTTTTTACAAAAACATAAATTTTTTCTTTTTTCTCAACTGAAGTGAAACAAATAAAACAACGATCGCTTTGCAAAACCTTCTTCAGCATTTCCTCCATCAAGAAACTACGATGAAATGCAGAATTTGAAAACACGGGAATAACGAGATTGATTACAATCTCTTGTGCTCTGATTGGTCACATAAGAAACAATGTCAGTGATCTCATTGGTGCAAAGACAACAAAGCTGGCCCTCTGATAGGGTGCGGGAAAAAAATGAAAATTGTGCGCTTTTTTGGAGGCGAATTGTGCAGGAGAAAAAGTTAATTGTACGGGTAATTGTGTGGGATGGCATAATCTTACGTCGAACAAAATATTTTGCATCCCACTCCCTGTTAAAGTAAACATCGGGTTCTGCTCATAAATCATACCTTTTCTTGCAATATCAATGTGAAATTCCTCCTGATTTTACTTTGAATGATTTTTATCTTATTGACTGAACTGTAGAACCTATTTTGAAGCAATTCTCTGTTCGTCAAAGCGATCGAAAGAGCTCAACGAAAACACTAGAGGAGATCGCCCCATAATTTGAGTTCACCAGTAAAAGTTACTGTCGATGGAAATCGTGTTTTCTTATTCCACTAACACATCCCCATTTAAAAATGTACTTCACCATTCAACAGAAATACCTATTTTGATTGAAATTTCAAGTAAAAATTTCTGTATTGTGCGGGATTTTGCGAATTTTCACGGATTGTGTGGGATTGTGCGGGTTTGACCAAATTGTGCGGTTCCGCACCCGCGCACCCTATCAGAAGGCCTGACAAAGGAAAAGGAATATTGTTCGAATGTGAGCAGCCATTTGTGGGGAGGAGCGTTGCGTGACAAGACTAAAAATGGCTGCGAGGGAGACTATGTCTTCAACAGAGTGTAAAAAAAAATCTTCATGATGAAAAAACAATATTTTATAAAGATATACAGTGTATCATTAAAAACTTTCTAGTTTATATCAGCTTGAAATCAAGAATGTTTGTCTGTTCAAATTGAATTTTTTAGGCAAACAGAACCCAAGATATATCAATTTTTGGGGAAAAAGTACTACTTTACAAGTACACTCTCAAATTGCATTGTCTCAAGTGTAAAACTTTGATAATTGGGATATCTACAATGTACCACTACAAACTAGAAACAAGTTGGCCCTGGATTAGTGGAGTACTTTTTGAATTTAATTAAACAAGAGTATTATCAGTAAACTGCTTTGTTTACAGTCAAGAGAACTAACATGTTTGATGACCACAATGAACACAGCAGAGCTTCCAATGAAGGAAACTGTACTACTCCTAATTTGCCTTTAAATTGGTGTCCTATAGAGCTTTGTTTTTATGAAATTGTAGGGTTGAAGTGGTCTTAGACTATTAAAAAGGTGAAGGTGATCTGCTGGAAAGAGCAAAATGTTTTTTAAATAAATCAGTGGGTTTGGATAATTTGCCATGCAGATAAACGGCAGGAAATTATGGTGAGCAAAATAAAGACAAATAAAATAGTTATGGTATTTGACGCGTTTATAGCTTACAGCATCTGCTTGTTGTTGATTGCCTTTGCATCAAAGTTCTGCTCATTACTTGGAAGGTTACTAAAAATTTTCAACATCTGAGGTATTCAGTTCCTTTTTTTAAAGCTTTCAATGCTTTCAAGTTATTGAATTTGTA